ATTTTTCCTTTCATACAGTTTGTTATTGTTTTCTTTGCTACCAAAAATCTAGCCTCCAAAATCATGAATCGATGATATTTTGAAGAGCCGAAGCCAAAAAAAGTGTATAATGAATAATGAAAGCATTGATATCAGATTAGCTTCATCTCCAAAACCCATCTCAGCATTGTCGAATTAGGTTGTTGAACATAATTTTTAGATTTCGTTTTTTTGGGTTTTTTAGTTTTCATGAACACCAACTGTTTAACAAAATGCCTCAATGACTAACATCTTTTCTACATATATTGTTGTTGATGGCTATCTTTCAATGATTTTGTTGCTGGTATTCTTTTTTCTAATATAGTATGTTCGTGTTTTCTAAAAAGAGATTGATTTATTTTAATCTGTTGTAGGGACTTGGGTGTTATTTCTTGCATATGTCATTGCTCAATTGGCTTGGATAGCAAGTAAAAAAGCCAATCGAGAAAGAAATCAATAAACAAGGATTCAGGTAGGATCAACAACGATTGCATTTGCACTTTATCTTGGGATTTGTTGGGAGGATTCAAAAATCTCTAATTCCATTTTGCTGACCATAATTTATAGGGATTTAACATTTGAAAGTATGTTAAAATTTTCACAAATCTGGTGTTTGGTTTGCTGGTCGGAGAGAATATGACATGAGGTTATTGTTTTTTATTGTTCTTGGCTTTTTGTATTTCTGATATCGTTCAGAATTTTTGTAGTGAACCAAGTTGCTATTACAACTTGTAGTTGTTATGTGGCTTATGGTATATATTGACTTTAATATATAATGGTTGTGTATGCATAATCACCATTTGATAAAATTTCTGACTGAAATAAAAATGTGATCTTTCACTTGAAGAGTAGTTTGTGGGGGTCTTGGGTACACTAATTTCACAAAGAATTGAAAGTCTGACTTTTAAAAGATAGATTAGGCTTTTCAACGCCTATATATAGGATTTGTATGTTGGAAATTTAGTAGAAATATTCCATCTCGAGCCTCAGCCACATCGTTTGCATCTAATATTTCTTTACAGGAACCTCTCAAGGACGAAAACGAAGACACTATTCTAACATTGTATATTGTCTTTAGTGGAAAAAGCAATTCATATTATACATATAAAGTTCATGTCCACCCTTTGCTTGTTTTGGTTATTCTAATAAAAATTTATTATTAGTTTGTAATCTATTTAGTGTGCATCATATCTAATATTATTTGAAGTTATCTGGATCAGAATTGGACATTTAGATAAAGATTTAGGCAGGAAATGAATATGACAAAAAACATTTTTTTGTAGTCTTGGTCAAATAGTGATGAGATGATCCATTATTCATAAACAATATGTGCTCGATGTTTAAACAAGAAGGGTATTTGTTTGTCAAGTTTACTAATGTTTCATCTAAAACCGCAGGCATTAGATGTCTCTTATTCCAATTTGGTTGCATTGAACATGGAAGAATGATCGGATGTAGACTCTTTTTGTCACTATATAAAGTTAGAATGATGATTGGGATTAAAGTCTCTTATGCTACCTAACCTCCAGGTGTTGCACTATAAAAAGGTTGTAAGTAGCACTAGAGAATAGGGAATGTTATGCTGAAAACCATGAAGTGGCGGTATTTATGGGTAATTCCCTATATATGTGAATATCCATGTTTTAGAGCCTTTTGTTATGCACATACACTTGTCCTCTTGCTTAATCTCCATTTTAATTGGACCAAATTTCTTCCAAATATCTGATATATGGACAACATAACTTCCATATTGGGTCAAATGTTCTTTGGGGACATGTATATATCACATGCTATTTTCTTTCGTTTATCTATTTTTTTATTGCATCCTACATTTATTTGTTTCTATTTCACTAAATGTCTTTACACATAAATTGTCCAGCCTCTGTTCTATATTTTAAACTTAATATCGTATTATTTTTACAAACAGGATCGAATAAAGAAATGCGTGTTAGCCTAGGCCTCGATGTTTACGATGATTCAATCATCTTGCGGAGTATAGATGATAATCATGGATTATTCTAGACAATCTAATAGAACGCTGGCAGGCTCGCAACCTGTAGGTGTTTATTTGAACTACGTGTTCATCAGGTGTACTCCATCCCCTTCATGGTTGCCTTATTTGACATATATTGCGGAAGAATCCCCTGAGTAATGTTGTCCATCTCGACAAAAATCCTTAGGGTAGGTCCCTTGAATTAGATGCTTTAGGGACGTAAGGTGAGGATAATGGGAATTGTTAATCGGGTTGAGTTATTTGACGAAATTAATAAACATAATTATTATGGTTGAAAACCCTATGTGATCACTAGACTCTTAAGCCTGACCCACTCAGTTTCTTGTATATAGGTAGTAGCAAGATAGCACAGGAATGATGGTCTGATGAGAGATCAATGGATGATAGGCCACTAGAATAAATAGAAGTTGTAAGGACTATGTTGTTTCTGTTTATGCTTTTGATCTGTATTGACAATGACATCCCCAGGTTTTTAATATAATGAAGATACATTTCTTTGGAAATGCTTTGATAAATTATTTATCATATCTTTAGGAACAAATTTCGCAACATATTTTTTTTAACGTATACTCTGATTTTCAAATAAAGCATAAACAAATCGGTCTTTTCTGGCTTTAAAATTGGGGATGTCACATGATTTGGTTGTTGTTGTCTTCTATTGAAAAACTTGTCTCTTGGTTCTACTGGGTGTCGAAACGCCTTCATGAATGTAGAATATGTTGGATATATTTCATCCGTAAGGTAATACCTAAAATTATATTCATTTCCATTTATTGTGAAATGAGCATCTGGTGCCTTTCCTGGCAAGAGATCGTTAAATATTGGTGACTGATCAAGAACGTTGACGTCATTGATGGAATCCGCAAACCCAAAAAAGCATGTCAAATCCATAAATATTAGGATGAAACTGTCTCTAATACCAACGAAGGCGTTCCATGATGAACACTTGCATACTAGCCTTTCCACGCGATGGGATGATTTATTCAGTTCCAGTGTGTGCAATCAATGCTTCCAAGAATACCTGGAAAAGCATGTATATCTTCATGTGCTACATATAGTTGTTGCATATCATTCAACGAAGGTTTGAACAAATAATCATCACTGAAGGTTTCAACAATACCTCTCGCCAATATATATAAACTTTCTCTTGCAGTTCTCTTAGACATTCTTATATAATCATCAATAGACTCAGGAAATGTTCTAAATAACGTAAGGCGTCACTTGGCGACAATGTTAAGCTTCAAGCTTTTCGAGCTATGCCGAGTCACGTCGTTTGTAAGGCGTGCCGTAAGGCGGCAAATTGGTATATATATATATATATATATATATATATATATATATATATATATATATTCTAGTATTATTCATTTTTATATACATATATGACTTAACGCGACAATTTGTCAAAGCTCGGCAGCAACTACAAGCCTTGGAATTGTGGCAAGCCATGGAAAGCTTTTTAGAACCCTGGACTCAGGCGACTTCCCCATACCCATAAGCTTAATTGCTGCATCACATTTCTGCAACCCTATAGATCATCGCTTACCTCTAGCATCATATTTAATTTAGAAAAAGTGTTCGAATTTATTGGCTAAATACGCATTGCAACTCATTACCATGACAATGGCTCACAACACAATGGGTGGTTGGGGTGGTGTAGTCGTGTTAAATACTATCCACATAGAAAAAATGGGGGTTAACGGCCCGTACCCTATAATCTTAGGACTCTATTTAATTAGGCACATGTGATTATCACTATTACATAAATTAAAAACGAATAGTAAATCAAGAAGTTTATTTAAATACTAAATCAATTGATCACACAAAAACAAAACAAAACAAAACAAAAATAAAAAACAAAATGTTATCTTTTCCATATTTTGAAGTTTAATTTGAACTCCGATTAAACTTAAATCATATAAATTGTTGGTGATTTAAAATCATCAATATTATTTAAGTGTAATAGGATTAAATTTGTTGATAAAAAGTAATGTTGTTGAATATTGAACAAGTTAGGATGGTACAGAAGTGCACACTTGTTCAAGTTTTCAAGATTCAAAGTACATTGTTATTTTAGGGAGAAGCCCTCTAAACGAACGGGGGTCCGGGGGCAGGGCCCTTTAGGAGCAGGGTCCAAGGGGCGACAACCCCTGGCGGGGTCTAATGGTAGATCCCCTGACTGAGGTCGAGCTGAGATCTGTTTTTATGACATGTATGGCGGTTTTATGATAGTTTGGAACTATATTGTGATGGTTTTCAGACAATAATTATATAACCGTTTTTTGGTCATTTTCTAGTACATTTTTTTAAGAACATTTCACATACATTCTCTAATTTCATAATCTATAAATTTTATTAAATTAAGTGTTCGATTTGTACCATCGAAATACTTTAATTTGATAGTGAATCACGACTTTCAGAAAATTCAAGCAATCTGTTCATCCCCTATTTCTAACATAAACTACAACTTATTGTCGATCGAGTATGCAAATCCATATGAAAATGATAAAAAATGATAAGCAAGGATTGTTCCAGAGGAATTAACACTAAAAGTGAATAACTTAAAGTTGACAAACATTTCTACGTTATAACATATTGGCGTTATTGATTTTTTTTGTAATTCTCAAATTTTGATTTTTGACAGCGAAATGTCCAGATATCTTAAGAATGAGTATTTTCCTAACTTCTTCTTACGTATATAATTTTAAATTTTCTATGTTTTCCACGTTAAAATACATTTATACATGTTAGACAGAGTGTGAACATGAAATTAAATAAACAAAAATAAGAAAAGATATAAACTGGCATGGCCCATATTCCACCTATCAAGACAAATAAACGCACTAGTTTTCTACTGGCCCGCCCCGAACTAATGTTTAACCATGCAGAGTATTACACGATCTAATAAACCGACGCTAGTACGCTACTATAAATATCACTTGTTTCATGCAAATATCTAGTAGTGTAAATAAGATATATACACGTTTGCACAAACAACAATTGAACATGACCACTGAGGCGATTGGAATCACCAATCAATTTTCTGAAAGGCGCTCTGCTGATTACAAACCAAACATTTGGAATTACGACTTCCTACAATCTCTCCAATCGGAATTTCATGTAATAATATCTTTCTGTATGACAATTTATCCTTGATTACCTTTTCAAAATAGAGTTCTAGAAAGCTTTTTTGTATGCAGGAAGAAGAATATAGACTACAAGTCCAGAAGGCCAGAGAAGAAGTTAAGAGTTTATTTGTTGAAAGCTTAGAACCTGTGGCGAAGTTAGAACTAATAGATAACATTTCAAAGTTAGGGTTGACAACGTATTTTCAGAAGGAAATAAATGGAGTTATAGATAGCTTTCAATCATTTAAGGATGGAAACGGCAATGTCAACATAGAATCGGATCTTTATGGCACTTCTCTTTGCTTTAGGATACTGAGGTTGCATGGGTTCAATATTTCCCAAGGTACACCCATAGTTAATACACCGGTTATATTGAACTTTAACGTCAAAATGTTATCATTATAATGATCATATTTTTATATGCAATATATATAATATTAAATATGATATATATATATATATATATATATATATATATATATATATATATATATATATATATATATATATATATATAGGTTCAGGTTCATTTGAGACCATTCTAATTTTATGAGATCAAATCTAAAAATAATTTTAAAATTCAAAATAAATGGAAAAATCCAAAAATTCTTTTTTTAGATATTATTTTCGGAACTTGAATTAACTAAGAAAAATAAAAAAAGTAAATAAAAAACACATCCTGTTTTTTTTTTGAAAAATACGTGAAATATTCTTATAGAATATTACACTGAAATATTCTAAAAATAATTTTAAAATGCAAAATAAATGGAAAAATCTAAAAATTCTTTTTTTAAATATGATTTTCGGAACCTGAATTAACTTAAAAAAATTAAAAAAATAAAAAATAAATCCCATTTTTTTTAAAATACGTGAAATATTCTAATAGACTATTACACTATACATATTCTAAAAAATAATTTTAAAATGCAAAATAAATGGAAAAATCTAAAAATTCTTTTTTTAAATATTATTTTCGAAATTTGAATTAACTAAAAAAAATTAAAAAAAAATCTCGTTTTTTTTTAAATATACTTGAAATATTTTAATAGAATATTATACTGTACATATTTTAAAAAATAATTTTAAAATACCAAATAAATGGAAAAATCCAAAAATTCTTTTTTTAAATATTATTTTCGAAACTTGAATTAATTAAAAAAAAAAAAAAAATGCCTCTCACGGCGTTACAAAATATAGATGGTCTCAAATTAACATAACATTTTATATATATATATATATATATATATATATATATATATATATATATATATATATATATATATATATATATATATATATATATATATATATCTCAAGGGTACACTCGTAGCATGAGTTTACCCAATAAGTTACCTAATGTTGTCGTATAGTTGAGAACTTGAGATTATGCTTCTAGACATTCATTGGCCACTCATTATTCATTTTGTATTATCTTCAAATTTTTTATTCTCATCCTCCTACTTTAAAAGTGATTATTTGTCCAATATAGATTTATTATCTTCAATTTTTTTATTCTCAAATAGAGGTCAAGGAATATATATATATATATATATATATATATTATATATATATATATATATATAATATATATATATATATATAATATATATATATATCAAGGGTACACTCGTAGCATGAGGTTACCTAATAGGTTACCTAATGTTGTCGTATAGTTGAGAACTTGAGATTATGCTTCTAGAGATTCATTGGCCACTCATTATTCATTTTGTATTATCTTCGATTTTTTTATTCTCATCCTCCTATTTTATAGAGGTCAAGGAATTGATACATCAGCTATTCTTATTCTAACTTTATTTATAACACTAATTCATTAATCACATATTCAATCATACTCACCATTTAATTTATTCTCTCTATTAAACCTCCTATTCGATCATTCAATCCTAATCACCTTGTTCAACTCCTATACAAGTTGCATTATAGACGACCAACTTTCTATCTTTTTCTGCACAATTAACCATACGGTTTCTGTTCTTAGCAATGGCATTGAAATTTGAAAGGTAACCAGATGCTCACCACTATCTCCAACCTTTCAAAAACCATAAAGCCCCATTGTCTAGTATCGTACTACACGACATATTGTATAAGTTGGCATGCAGAAATACCTACTATACGATTGTATAGGTTGGCGCGAAAGAAATTTTAATTAGAGGGGCTAAGAATGGATACAGAAGTGATAGGTCCTTCATTAACCCTATCAATATGGGAAAATATATCAAGAGCGTTTTTGATACATAACGTTTGAGAACTTTTGGCTTCTAGCTTCTAAGAAAACGCTAGTAAAAAAGAAAAAACTTTTGTTCAGCGGTAAGAGCATTTAGCTTTTAGTTTAAACAAAACGCTTTAAAATCAAAAGTTACATATAAAGTAGCTTTCAACAAAACTCTCCAAAATTAAACGTACCTGCTAACCGCTACCTGTTACCAACTAGTTTTGCCGAAAATTCCATACACATAACTATTTAAATAACAAGACATAAAATTAAAATTGCCGAAGTTAAGTATATCTACATATAGTGACGGAAATCAGAACATTGTATTTCTTTCAACACACTATACATGTTATTTAAAGTAAATTGAATCAAAACATTCCTAACCGAAGACCATACAAAAAAAACAACAAGAAATAGGCGTGTGTGTTTCTAGAAGCATCATCCTTGGCATATACAGTATAACACATCATATCTTATCCAAAACTCCCTTATATTACGAGCGCATTTTATTCTTTCTTTATTCAACTAAATTTTCTCTTGCTTCAGTTCCTCAGTTGGATGTTCAACATTTGAAACTGATATTGATAACCGTAAAAATGTTATTATCAAACTAAATGTCATGCTCCTTAACGTCCTTATGGGGTTTCGATTGCTTGTTGTTACCTTTGTCACACATAGTGGATTGAATTTCACTTTTCTGTTAAATAACCTGGTGGATTAAACTTTTAAAGATCACTAGAAGGGAAATGTACAGAAAAAAGAGCATATATAGGGGCCGGAGAGGGCAACTCATGCTTTACTTTTGGTTGATATATAAAAAGTAGAAAACTAAATTTGAAGTATGTTTAGCAAAATATTCATTTGAAACGCTGAATTGGAACTTTGTTTGTATATAAAACATACCAATTGTTTGTTTGACCACAGGTATTTTCAAAGGGTTTGTAGATAATGTGGAGAAAAACATGAACTTTAATGTTAAAGCAATGGTTAGCCTTTTTGAGGCTTCACATCTAGCTTTAGAAGGTGAAGACATACTAGGAAAGGCTCAAGCTTTAGCATCATTTTATTTGAAGAACGTTTATCAACAGTTAGATGTTGAGCATGGAAAAGAAATATATGATCCATTGAGACTTCCTTTGAACATGAGAGTAGAATGGTTCAATATCAAAAGTCACATTCAAGATTATGCTAAAGTGAGTCCAAATTTCAATTTGCTCAAGCTAGCGAAACTCAACTTCAACATGGTTCAAGCCGTTCACCAAAGTGAGCTCAAAGATATGTTAAGGTACGTATGCAATACTGTTGAGTATAAAATTACCGAGTTCAGAAATGTGGCATGTGTGGACACTTTTTATTAAATAATCTTATCAGGTTTTCTAGGCTCATTTTCTATCCTAATTTATGCTTCTTTTTTGTCAATAGTTGGTGGAAGAAAGTAGGAGTTATGAAAAATATAAGCTTTACAAGAAATCGGGTGGTTGAAAGTTACTTATGGTCGGTGGGAGTTGCCTTTGAGCCACAATATGGATATCTCAGAAAATGTTTAACGAAAGTCATCAATTTGGTGCTTATTATTGACGACGTTTATGATGTTTTTGGCACTTTGGATGAACTGGAAACCTTTACGCATATTATCGAAAGGTAAGTACGCCTACCTATGCTATAACTGTTGGGTTTTGGTCATAAGACATCCTATGTGCTCATACAAACCCTAATGCTTGGATCTAGGTTTCTCTATTGTACATGCTTTGAATCCAAGACTATAAACCCTAATTCTAGCATACATATAATCATATTAACATGAGAATAAGTTTATAGTGTTACCTTGATTGTTATGTAGCAATAACAATCCCAAATCTCCTTGTATTGACTTTGGAAGGCTTAGAGTCACAAGTGTCACTCCTCTAATGGCTCACAAACACCATAAGCAAGTGAAGAAGGTATAAGGAGAGAGGTGAGAGGTTAGAATTCGTATCTAGAACCTCTTGGGAAGGGATACACGAATTCATGGCCCTAGGGGTGTTTATATAGGTGTAGAGATAGGGTTTCAGTCATTATCCTTATCTAGTTGATTATCCATTAAGCAACCAATAAGATAATCCTTGAATCCTTATCATACTCGAATTCTAAGGGATTTACACCTCAAATTCGTTCACCATATATAAGATAATCCTTACCTTATTTTGTAACTATCACATAATTACAATTCAGCCCCTCTAGTTTAATTAATTACATTTGATCACAAAACTAATTCTTAATTAATTATTGACCAATATTAATTAAACAAATATGATTTCTCCTTTAATATATTATTCTTATAACATATTAATAAATCATATTATCCTCTCTCTCTTTATTCATTTCTCCAATCAAGTTGCTTTGGTGAAGGCAACCCAAAAGGACCATGCACCATCGGGTCAAGTACATACCAAAATAGTTATGGACTTAGACACTAATCCAACAGTCTCCCACTTGGATAAGTCTAACAACTATTCTGCGTATGACTTCAGATCCTGATCTGCAATCGTAGCTTTCCAAAGCCGCTGTCAACTCTGATCATATCAGATACGCGTGTCCTTAGATAAGGGATCATATATTCCTCCATTCTAGATATCGTATGAGATATGATTTCTAATCATTCTCTTTGTACTACTTCTCGATTTCCGATTTATGACGACAGACTAATTGAACAAATCAAATTAGCCCTAGCCCGGCCGAGCATTTACGTATGTCATCACTAAACCATCGAGGGGCCCAAAGATATCGCTTTTATCCTACTTTGGATAAAAGGAACGGATAAACTTTGATACAATGCTTGCTTGCACTCACTCACCGAATTACACACAACAATATGTTTTATAACACCAAGTTACTGGTGCGTTTACATATTATCAATGTGCAACCGATTCGCAAGATACAACTCACACATCTCGGTTTCAAGAATATAAGATGTTATCGTCTCACCAATCACTCGTAATACAATTCATGGAGTGATCCAAGTGAGCGTGGGTTTAATCCAATGCTCAAATCATATTCATAAGCACTCATGAACGTTGCAGCAAACATTTGCTTATGTCTAATACTCTTCTAGACAATCCACACACCAATTCACGACAGTCTTCATTCATATCTACTTCCAACATATGAACGACTGTGGCCCGTTTGAATAATTCGATTATTCTTAATAAACTCAATTATTCTGGAAGTCAAAACATGCAAGGTGAAACACAAGAATAATACTAATCCCATATGGCCTCAAACCTTTGAGTATAAACAAAACACGTTTTATTTATCACCATATCGATTACTCATTATTTGTCGTTTCGGGTAATCAACTTCGCATTTTAATTCCAACACTTGTCCCATGCTCCTAGCATGCACACAATGTTTACCTATGGTTCTTACTTTTGCGAAATAGACAAATTGAACACATTTCCAATCATTCTCATTTTACAACACCAAATCCATTTTCTTAAGTGTAAGAATGTCAAATTCTTGTTACTTATAGAATATACTAGATTCTAACACTTTATGCAACGATCCTTTTGTAATGTCACTGCACCAAAGTCTCAAAGACTATTGCCAATGATATTACAAATTCCTCTATCGGAGATTGTTACAAGACAATTCCTTAGATATGATGTCTCTCACTCAAAGTACATTCCTTTGAACATCCTTTCGCATAAAGTTTCTAATCTAGACATAGATTTTACTTCCCAACATGGACACACTTCCATATTTTCTATATGACAACTCATTCTTAATAGAATCTTATCTATTCGTAATGATGTCGATATCGTCCATCCAATATGGAAACACTTCCATAATTTCCAATACTATACTTCCAACTACTCGCAAGCGACCAATCCTCGTCGAACTTTGGATTGTCCTTTGATAGTTGTTTAATTATTTTAGTCAAAACCAATTCTAGTCCCTTTTCCCTCTAAATGCACTATACATTTGGAAAATTTTAGAATGGTCAAACATTAAAGCATTCGCAATCGATCCTATACCCGAAGCGTATGGGACACGACGCATAATGTTTTATTTGCTATGTTCTCAAAACTCGAATTGCGAAGAGGAATGCCGTAATCACAATCGAAATTTTAAGAACACACTATGTACCTTTGACTAAATTTATTAACATTCCACAACCTAATCCTTTAGATTTGAAATGAAGCATAATATTCTCTCCCTTAATTATAGCAAAACAACCTTTCAACTCTTACAACTTTGCAAAGTATGACTCTTGTTTTCTATAATTAATATTGCCAACTATGCAATACGTGCCTTAATAATCATACAATCATAACATTTATGCTCCCACTATCATGATGATTATTATAAAACATAACACTTATGCTCCCACTAGCTTCGACATGTATTCATAAACATCTTAACTTTCAGAAAAACAATACTTATTGAATTTCTTAAGTTCATGTTTCTAATACTTAGTGCTTTGATAATCTTTTATCAAGGCTTCTTGAACTTATACACTTTTGCCTTAGATAGTTCATATGTGTGTCTTAACAATTAAGACTAATTGCCAAACCTCACAATTCAAATTATGGAAAGGGATGCCGTAACCATGATCGAATTTGAGAATGCAATTTTACAATCACTATCTTTTAAAATCTTTCTTAGTGAAAGCATTTTCTCAAAATCATTTTCATGAAGGAGGAAATCTTATGACACTTAGATTTAAACGGTGTATGTGTTCCTATCCATGCGAATTTGTTAAAACCAAAGTTTACGACAAATTCAAACTCATATGGATCGAACTTTCTTAATCTTGATTTCTTGCCTTATGGTAGCACAGCTGCCCACCACGTCTTCCAAGTAGTTAAGCATCTTACCTTTTTCCTATCAATGTACCTTTCATTGATCAAGGTCCTTGCCTTTTACGCATTCAAATGAGAACTCATAGGACTCACATGCATAATTAACTCGATTGGATTGGCACAGAAACAAATAATGTCTTTACGATAGGTTGTAAACCTCAACTCGTGTGCTAGTGATGATCGATAAGGTTTATTTGATTTGTTCTTGAAACTTTTCGAGACCATTAAGACTCCCACTGACTCCTTGACATATAAGATTCTTTTGTCAATAAACATTTCTTGACAAACAAATTTTCAAGAGTTAGTGTAGCTTGTATCAAAACACTTCATAAATTGGTCATAGTTGGTCTTTGTCTTATCCAAGACATCACAACTTTCCACATTTGATGAATGTTATAAACCTTTAATACTTTTTACTCATTGTCACAATCTTAACTTTAAGACTTGTTATTGGAACAAAGTATGATTGTCTTCTTGATTTGACCATTTCATCAATCTTTGATTCCTCTTCTTGGACATACAATTGTACCAAGACTCACTTAGAGGATCAATTGAGATATGGTTCTTAATCATTAAGACCTATCATAAAGCATAAAAGCCACTCTCCCTTCTTCTTAGAATGGAGAAACTCTTATCTTTCTGCCTATTTGATTCTTCTTATTCGTTTTGCTATTGATCTAAACCCTTTAATCAATTCAAAATTACACTTAATCTTGTAAGTATAATCATATTTACTAAACCTTTAGTAAATGATGACGAATATCTTTGTTACTCTTATGGTGAACTTGATCAACACACAACTTTGTGTACTCGATCTCCTAGTCCTTCACTTGACACTTTGTCAACGAATTAGTCTAATTATCAAATATGAAATTTCTCATTCATCATGCAACCAAGTTGCATGATTCCAAGTTTCTGTCCAATTGAAACTTGGGCGATGAGAAACTCTCCCTATTTGGTAAATTCTTGACTTTCCATAACACAATAAGAAACAAATCCATTATTGCTAATAATTTTAACATCAATTTTTCATACATGCCATTGTAAGGATAAATAAAATTTAAAATCAAAATTTATTTTATTGCGGAAAAATTTGTCCTTCACAATGCAACTCATTGAAAAACTTATGCGAATACATCTTTCTTAGCAATCTAATTCTAACTCTAAGTAGTAGCTCAAGAATCTAATCTTCGAGAAACGCAATCGAAATCCATTCCTTCACGGTTAGATTCTGCTCACTTCTTCCCTTAAGCTTCTTTTCTTTTCTTTGATCCTTCTAAACATCAATTGTAATCTTATCACATTATGTATTCAGAACCTAGAATGAAGCTTAAAAGAGTTAGTCAATGGATTTTACCTAAATTAGAGCCATACGTTTCGACTCTCCCATCTCTTAGATCTCTTAGGTAAATAGGGCAGCTTCGTCTCCAATGCCCCTTCTCTTGGCAATAAAAGCAAATTGACTCTTTTGGAACAACACATGGAACTATTTCAGACATCGCCTTTCTCTTATGATCAAACTTTTCGATCATTGCATGTCTTTCATTGCCATTGTCTATATCCACAGAGGTCTCGAAGGCAGATTCACCAATCAACTTTGCTTTTCTATTGCGCCAAACCATTGCTGATTCAGCAGCAATAAGCATATAGGTGAGATCTATAAGGGTCACGTCGCGGTTCATCATATAGTACTCTCTTACGAACTCACTATATAGTTAGGAAGTGATTGAAGAACCCAATCAACAGCCATCTCTTCACCGACAATGGATCTATCATTCTTAGTCTATCAATGTGCGACTTCATCCCTAGGACGTGTGCACACACCGACTTTCCTTCTTTATGTTACTTGCCAAAAGGGCT